AGGGGCGGCCACCCCGGGGGGGGGGGCCAGCCCTGGGGGGCAGGGTGCTCATGGCAGCTGCAATGGCTGCCACTGCTGGGCTGAGCAGCCCAGTGTTTGGAACGGAGATCCGCCGTGAAAGCAACGCAGCTCCGTTCCCCCTTCAGCCTGAGCTGACCCTGACATCAGGTCTGGGAGTCTCTTGGGTGGCACATTCTCCATTAGTCACACTGGACCAAAGTCACTTCCCAAGAAATCTTGAATAGGTTTTTGGGACAGGGATAACGAGCATAACTCACTAAATGATTAGACAACTCACCTGCCAAAGGTAAATTTGTGGGTTGCCTCCACCATTGCAGACAGGCTTGGCTGGGAGGAGCTTTGGGAGCCTTGGTGGCAGTGGTCCCACCACATTGCCACAAGGGCAGGTTGTGCCCCTCTGTGCCACCAAAGCAGCAGCACCCCTGAGCTGCTCACATTTCACTCTGTGCAAAGTGGCAACTCAGACCCAGGTTTTCCTCTCTGGAGTTCTCCAAAGATCCCATGAAACACGAGGCAGCTCCAGGGCATGGAAGATGACAACTGTGCTACTGAACTGACAGCAGCTCTCTCAGGGATTATTGGCCCATGCCCACTGCTCTTGCCCAGACTGCTCCCAGCATCAGCTCATGCTGGGGCCAGGGAGCAGAGCCTGATGCTTCTTATTTTACTGGGACAAATATGTAGCTTGTCATTGGTGTCCAGAACTTGGGCTAGGAAGCAGCTGAGAATCCCCCAGAATGGCAGACAAATACACAGAAGGAAGCATGAAGAAGTATTGAAACTGAGTGAGAGAACGTGGCTTTGCCCTCCCCACACTTTGAAGAGGTTCATCATGTGAAGAGGTGCACAGCCTCCACTCACTGGGAACAATGAACTGGGGTGCCTGGAAGAATCACATTTAAAAGGCAGATGAAGAAAATAATGAAACATTTTAAGAGATGGTTCCTAGTCAAGATGGAAAGTGTAAGAAACCAAAGTGATTTGGCTTTGCTAAAAGCAGACTAAACTAATACAAATGTAGAAGTTTCTCTCACACAATACTGTAAAAATAATGTGAGTACTTATCAAAATTGCTCTTGAAACCAGTCTACATCTTTAAAGGATAAGTGATTCAGTGAATCTTCTTCTCTTCCATAGCTCTTATTCTGAAGTCTATTTTCGTTAAGGAACTATCTTTTTTTTCCAATGGAAAACTTCCCTACCTTACAAATATCTCTTTGCTTCCATACTCCTTTGTTTTCTTGTTTTGTCAAGTACTTAATATCAATAAACACAAATCTGCTGTCACATTACCACAGTAACCAGAATGCTTTATTTTTGTTATGATTTTTTTTTGCTTTTGTGGGGTTTTTTTGGTTTTTTTTTTCCAATGCTGTTTTTAACTACAGTGATACTAATTTACTGAGCTTCCTACTTCCTTTGGTTTGGGTTTTTTTGGGGGTGAGTGACTCAGTATGTTGGGTCTCACTGAAGGTAACAAGGCATTTATATCTTGAACACCCTCTTCACAGTTGCTACGTAGCGTTCATCTGGCGGGGGTTTCCTCGGGCTGCCAGGCTGCAGAAACTTCTTAATTGTAGGAACATTGCTCATTCTTTTTTTAAAAGCCTAAAAAACAAAGACAGTGTAAGAGAGAAATTCCCTCTACTCCAGCAGTAAACAGTGCTCCTTGCAGGGAACAACTGCTTCCCCCTGCTGCTAGAAAAGTTCCTGACATTCATTCAGGTCCGTGTTCTCTCCTTCCGTCCAACTGGAGGATCCTGCTGCTGCAAAAAGCCTGTTTTTACCAATGAAGGCAACAACGGAGCACACAATAGACCTGAAAGAAACCGAAGTGACAACTTCAGTATCCAGGAGCTCCAGGGGATAGTTTTGAAGGAACAAATACACTAACCCAGCTCATGACCTTTCCCTCCGGAGAGCAAGTCATACGAGGAGCAGCTGAGGGAACTGGGGATGTTCAGTCTGGAGAAGACAAGGCTGAGGTGAGACCTTATTGCCCTCTACAACTATCTGAAAGGAGGTTGTAGGAAGGTGGGTGTTGGCCTCTTCTCCCAGGTGGATAACAGGACTAGAGGAAATGGTTTAAAGTTGCAGCAGGGGAGGTTTTGATTGGATATCAGGAAGAAATTTTTTACTGAACAAAGTGGTCAGGCACTGGAACAGCCTGCCCAGGGAGGTGCTGGTGTCACCATCTTTTGAGGTACACAAGAAAGGTGTAAATGTGGCACTTTAGGGCATGCTCCGGTGGCTGAGATGGTTGGTTGGGTGTGTGAGGGGTTTTTGTTTGTTTGGGTTTTTGTTGGGTTGTTTTTTTTATGGTTGGTCTCTGTGATCTCAGAGGTCCTTTCCAACCATGACCATTCTGTGATTCTTTTAATTATTGGTTCCCCTGGTGCAAACTACTCTGTGGGCAAATCACAGTATATGTTAACGTTATTTCATTTTTACTACATTATGGAAGTAGCTGAGCTCTGTTTTCATCTAGCATGGCCACTGTTGTCCCACTGTCCCATCACCTCAGAGGTCTTTTCCAGCCTCAACAATTCTGTGATTCTGTGATCACTTCTAGGATTTAGTGAGTGAATGTGAAATGCCTGGAAGGCTGGAGTTGTGCTTGACCCAACCCAGTCGTTCAGTAGAGGTTTCTCACGCTGTGTTGTAGCCTAGAGTAGCCAAAATATCTACATAGGGCTGGCAGATATAACACAGCTTCTCAGGGAGACCTGTTCCTTTCTGGAGCAGTGGCTGGAGGACAGGGCTGGGATTAGGAAAGAGCTGAGCATCTCAGGTGAAAAGAGGTGCCTGTGTTAGGGTAAGTGAATCAAGGATCATGAGACAACTTGTACAGACAGTCAGAGGACTCATGGATGCAGACTGCAAGAAAGAACCTCTTCTAACAATGGAGCTAAGGGAGAGAAGCTTCACAGAGCAAGAGCCAGTTCTTTCTGGCAATTATATGAACATAATTTCCTCTTCCTTACATGCACTAGAAGGACAAGGGCGAAATACAAGCAGGAGCAAGAAAATAATAGCTATTAAATAAGTAACCCCCAGTTTTAGAAACTTTCCCCCTTCTGGCAGTGAAGGAATCCCCCCATAATTCAAGGCATGGCTTCAACAGAAGCCCATCTGCCCCTGCCTAGTGCCTAACATACTTTCTTAGGAGATAGGAGCTAGGGACAAGAATTACCAGAGGCTGCAACACTGATATGGGATAAAGTCTGGCACACTTTACTGCCTACTCTAGCTGAGGTGCGTCACTCTGTCACACTAAATCCAGGCTTAAAATGTTTGTGTTGAGAATTAAAATGTAAAATTAATGAAAAACACAAACAAAGTCCTTTAACTGATAATTTTCAGTCAGAAAACTTAAATGTGAGAGTCTGTTGCAGGACTGTTTCTTCTGTTAATGGGAATACAACCTGAGTCTTTTGAGTGCACCTCTCAAATTAACAGTTTGCAAGCAAAGAACCATGATCTCAAGCCTCAACATGTATTTGCATTGCCTACAATGCTTAATTACCACGATTACTGGCACATGGGATCACTACTGTACACTAACTACTTTTTTTCCAGTCACAGACTGTTTGAGTCCACTGCATCTCTATGCTTAGTGACTCCTGCAGGTCATGCCCCAGGCTTGCCCATGTACTGTGCTTTACAGCAGGATGCATGCCTGCAGGCTTCTGATTTCTGGTCAAGTCTCCCAGCTGAAGTGTTTTCCTTCTGCTAGTTTCAGACTTTGTACATGGCACAAAGGCAGAGAATTCATCCTCAGTTGTATTGAATTGAATATTGAACTGTGGCTTAATGCTAAGGCTTGAGTTTCTACTCATACTGTAGAAGGAATAAGTGAAGTGAGGTTATTGGGATCCCAAAATTGTAATAGCAGCCAGCACAGAAAATGAAAAATGATGTCTTGTTCTAAGGTGTCAACGTGTATCACAGACTTCCTTTGTTATCTGATATTAGATAGCATCTACTGGCAGGAAGCAGAAAAATGAGAACAGGACAGCTTAGATCAGCAATTCCCTTGGAATGACAATAATTTATTTCTATTAAGGAGGCATATACTACTCAAAGAGGAACAGGCATACCTGAACAGGGTTAATCAGGAGCACTGTGTCTTACAACAAATCAACTGAGTCAGTTTACTCTTGTGCTTGATGTTAAGCAAACATACAACTATGACATTTCTCCAAAGAGCCCACACTCCTGATTTACATAGCATGAAGAGATGCTCATTTTAGGATTACTGTCTTGCTCCTGAATACAGGCATAGTCAGTAACAAAATTACCTGCAACTGGGGAAACCCCGACAGCACAGCAGGTATTTTCTCCTCCACTGCTAATATAGCTTCAATTAGCTGAACATCTGCCCAGCTCATTTTGTTGCCCACAAGAAAGTCTTGGCCATGTTGTTTCAAAACCTATAGAATAAAAGAAAGCATGGGTTACAAATGAGAATGGGCCATAGGAGGCCTGGCAGCTAAGCCTCACAACACAGCTCAATAGCAATTATATCTGAAATTTCAAGGTGGAGCCTTCAGCTGGAAGCTGTGGGAATAAATCACTTAATTTTTGGTAAAAGAAGCCAAACTCTTGTAGTACACAGACTACAAACTTTGGTCCCTCAGTAATAATGACTGGTGATAGGCACTGGGAACAGGGACAAAACCATGTGCTTAAGTAGACTAGTAAGAGTCACAGAACTAGAAACTGGGATGATGGAAGAGCTCAAGAGTAACTTGGAGAATTTATAAAATTGCCATTTAGGTATTTCAGTTATGCACAATGTCAATACCAGGAAGCAAACTTAGAAACACAGAATTACAATAGCTAACCAAAGAAAGATCACTCCTTTGGAAATAAGTTATCATAGTCATAAGAACCTCTCAGATGTTTAGCCTTTATTGTCGTTTTCCATCAAAACTAGATCAGTGTTACAAAAGTGAGAAAGTTGCCAGATGTCTGAGTCATATGGGTTTTGTTCATTGTTTTCAGAAGTGGGATGTGCAGAAATCTCTTAACTGTTGTTTCACTAAAGTATTTGTAATCTCTGATTTATTTGCAAGGGTTTTTTTTTATTCTTCTAAAGAAACTGTTCCAACTGAAATAAAGTGTATCAGAGAGATATGCTTTAAACAAATTCAAGTGGGGAACTATCCCCTCAAGGAAAGAAGAAATACATCCTTGCTTTTATTTAGTGAAAAGTTTTGCTGTATAGCTGAGCACATTTTGCTTTGTTTGCTTTGTAGGTGTTCAAATACCATAGCCCTGACAACACAAGTCAACAAACAGAGAAAATATGCTGCCTTATTTCCCCTTCTTTGAGAGACAAGAAAGCTGAGGATTTGGAACTGACCTGCACTACAAACATATTTGTATTTTGAAGGAAATGTTTGATAATTGTAAATACAAGTTTTATAGACATATCTGAACTGTCACTTACCTTTTCAAAGGCTGGGAAATATCTGTTAATTGCCCTGTCCTTAAGTGAGTCAAGATTTTTCTCTTTTGCCTCAGGTGGAGAGAAAGGAAACATCAAAATCATTAGCATCAGATCTGTTACTCCTTCCACATACATGTCAATCCTATTGGTGGGGGAAAGGAAGCAGAAAAGAACACAGAAATTATTTCATCTGTTTTCCAATTCATTAAGGCAACTTACCAGAATTTTGTACCACCACCACCAATTTTCAAAGCCAAAACTAAAAATAAACTAAAGATAAATCTCTTAAAAGGATTAAAAGCCTGTTTATGTTCAGCAACATTTCAGAAGACATGGGTAAAAGCTAAGCAAAGGCTAGAATTCTTGCTTTTTTTTTTATATTTAAATTTATTTTTATATGAATTTTATATATAAATTATTTTTATATAATTTTACATCTATATTTATTTTTTAAAAATATTTTATTTTAAATTTATTTTTAAAGGCTTTCTCATGCCTTTATACTGGATTTACAGGATTGAATTCATTATATATAATGCAGCTATCAAATAGCAGATTTCTCATTAAGTGAAAGAAGGTGTTACAGTACAGGGCTCTCTCCTTCAAGTCTTTCCCATAGAGATTGTATTTCCCTGCTATGTAGCTCATGATGGCTCTGGTCTGCACCAGCTTCATTCCATCCATCTCAACCAGCGGCACTTGCTGGAACATCAGGTCTCCATCTAGGGTGAAAAGTTGGGGGAAAGCTTGTCAGTACCTCATAGACTACTAGGTTTGCAGGAGAGACTGAACACAGATATTACGACCAGCAGAGCAAGGGAGGTGATTCTCCCCCTCTACTCTGTCCTGCTGAGACCCCACCTGGGTTACTGTGTACAGCTCTGGAGCCCTCAGCACAGGAAAGACATGGAGCTGTTGGAGAGGGTCCAGAGAAGGGCCACAAAGATGATCAGAGGCCTGGAGCACCTCTGCTATGAATACAGGCTGAGAGAGTTGGGGCTATTCAGCCTAGAGAAGAAAAGGCTCTGGGGAGACCTTATAGCACCTTCCAGTACCTGAAGGGGCTACGGGAAAGCTGGGGAGGGACTTTTCATTAGAGAGGGTAGTGATAGGACAAGGGGTAATGGTTTTAAACTGGAAGAGGGGAGATTTAGGTTAGACATCAGGAAGAAATTCTTCACCACGAGAGTAGTAAGGCATTGGAATAGGTTGCCCAGGGAAGCTGTGGATGACCCCTCCCTGGAGGTGTTCAAGGTCAGGTTGGATGAGGCTTGTGCAGCCTGGTTTAGTGTGAGGTGTCCCTGCTCATAGCAGGGAGGTTGGAACCTGATGGTCTTTAAGGTCCCTTCCAATCTTAACCATTCTATCATTCTATGATTCTATGATTTTGCAGCATAGATTATCCATGTATTACCTTAACTGTAAAACTCCATGCAGCAAACTAACATTGTGGGAAACATCAGATACTGGCTAGTCTGCATCTCATTTTTGTAGCTAGGTTCTCACAGCGCAACTGAGCCCCTTACTTTACAGCACTGCCAGAGCTTCACTGGCTGACGGGAGCTGGCACCACCTGCTCCTTTGCCCTTCTAGAGCCAGCTTCGTGCTGGCAAGAAAAGCCTCAACCTGAACTTTCTACCCAAGGGATCAGAGGAGAATAAAGTCCTGTGTTAAATCCAAACTTAAAAAATACAGTTATTTTGAATGCAGATCAGTTCCTTGTCATGGACATATACATGAGTAGAAAGAATGAGTGGGTGTATGGCAGCAAGGCTGAACTACTGGGGTAAAGGAAGAGGTCAGGACACTTCAGACATCATGAAGTTACTGAGTTAGAGGCAAGAATGGTGACAGCAGTGGCTGTTTAAGTAACCTTTATGCAGTCACTTCGGGGACAGAAACTTAAGCGAATTTCATTGCAGGCCTATTCTCAGTGCCATTCTGCAACACTTTAAGCCTATTTAGATGCATCTTTGTAGCCCTGTTCTCTCCTGGTGCTGGTAGGAGCACTTATCTGAGCCTTCAGTGAGGCAGCTCTGACAACTAAGCTGGCAGAGATTCAGCATAGCAGTGTCACTCTTTTCTAGACCAATTTTCTGCTGGACTAATTCACTGTCTTTGGAGATACTCCCTCCTTCATTTACACATAAAGGGCATCCAGAGAGCAATCCTGCCTTGTTAAAATCACAGCAACAATCCAAATTCAGTTAGGCAGCTGCCACTTTGCATTGCTTAAATTCAATAATTTATTTTAATTGCTCATTTTTAATCCATTCACTCTGTCCTTCTTTTGGGTATAAGGGTTCATTTTGACAGGCATGTCTGTTTGCTTTTTTCTCCACAGAGCTGTTAAAATACTTCGCTAGTCTATAATTAAACACTGTTCACTCATTCTATAGTATTAATTCCCAGTTTAAATTAAAATAATAGTTCTCAACAGCAAGGAATAGCCTGTTTGTTTCTTCCAAACATTACAGGAAGATCGTGTGTCTTCATGTCAGAACACGTCTCTGCAGCTTAAGGAAGAAATATGACCTGGTATTTATCTAGAAAAACCACAGTAGAACAGGAAAACTAACAGCTCTGCAGGGATATTTTTCAGCAGAAAGACATGAAGGGAAAAATAAAATGTGACTTTCTGACCCTTGACACAAACTGATGCAGCAAACATGAGCAAACTGAATGCACTGTTTCTTACCTACATCAATACTAGACAACTCAACAACAGCTCAGGCCAGCTGGCACAGACTGGTCACATTCTCTCTATTCAGCTCTCTCTGCCTGTATAGCGTGGTGGTCACATCTAAATGACATCTTGGAAATGGCCCTTGGCCCAGGACAACTCCCAGATGATGCCTATGAATTGCTTTGAGGAGTGCTATTTGCTCTGGATGAAAAATGTCCCAGAAACAGGCTAACATTTCAACATAATAGATAATTAAGTTGTATTGTATAGGAATGTCTGCTATCCCTGTATGTGTTACAATAAACACAGTCACAGAAGCTGTGGCTTTTAACTTATAGGAGTTGTTTGGCATTGGAAAGAACAGGTTACTCAAAACCAGTATTTTGGTATTCCAGCTGTGCATCTAGAAGATTGCACTTGTTTAATTAAACTAATTTTATGCCACAAACTGAGCTAAATCGGAGTGACTTTTTGAAGGACTGTGCCTCAGGATTCTTACCTTTGATTAGCTTTTCATATTGCTCTCTAGTTTCCAGATAAACTTCCTCAAACTGGAAAAGAGAACACTATTACATTGCTGTATTTTAACACTTCTCTTCTATAAGTCAATGCACACAACCACGCACAGAATGCCCAAACCAAGCAAAAGGGAATGGGCCAGATCTTCAGCTGTGCTGTTTGGCCACAGAGGTCCTGAGGATCCCACACACACTCACAGCTGCAGAGGAGCAGAAGGGCCTGCCCACTTCTGCCTCAGGGCCCTGATTCAGAAATAACCTCAGTGCAGGTAGAAGCAGAGAACAGACAGTTTGCAGGAGGAAGGCAGGTTGCAGACAGTGCCAGAGGAAGCACAAACTAATTAACTATTTCTAACCCCATCCCAGGGAATGTAAATAAACAACGCACTCTTGGTTTTTTTTACATATAGTAACTGCAAACTAAGTAAGACTGAATTAAGTTGGTTTTGCACATCTGGAAAAGTCAAATTAATTAAGGGCTTTTAAATAAATCCCCATTTTGACCCACTATGATTAACTTATTCAGGGGCTAGCTCTAATAAACTCCAAGCTCTGTTGCATTTGCTTACCAAATATTAGCCACCGAGCAAAGTAGTTACTTGCCAAATGAATTTAGCCACCCTCGTGCAGTTATTTACCTTCCCTGTGCACATTAAATTAACCCTTACTGAGGCCAGTAGTAAACACCAGTCTGAAACATTGTATGGAGTGTCAACCAACCTCCACACCAGCTGCTGCCAACAGCCATCGTGTGGATTCCATCCGCCCCCTGCCATCCAAGTAGATCAGCCTGGGCTTCCCCGACATGCTTCTGAGCTCCTGGTTCCCTGGAAAATATTAAGCAGGAAACAACATCTAATAAAACTGGAGTAAGTACAATTACTTTTGGCTGAGAGAGAGCCTTTTAATTCACCCTCTGTCCAAGTTTAAACTTCATCTAGTTCAGAATAAAACAAGAAGTGGACCAGTGGCAGCAGACAGCCTGCACTATGAAAGGAAAGACATGCTGATCTGTAAAGCCTTCTCCAGGGCTGCTAGGGAGGTTTGTTATCAATACAAGCAAAAACAGACATGTTTAAACAAGTGGTATGAGTCCCGAGCTACAGGGGAAACTTTGGTGCCTTTTTAAGACAATTATACAAAGACACTAAGCCACTGAAAACCCTACCACGTCTTCAGGGAAATTACTCACCCTCACTGCCATCATCTTCATTGAAAAGATGGAAAGAAAAATGTTTTACTCATAGGCTGAATCTGTCTAGCATTGTTTGCCAGATGTCAGAGCCATTTTGCAGCTTCAACTGCCATTCACGTCTTTCCTCAAGTATCAGCAAGCGAATTGTTCATCTTCCATTTGTTCCCCTAAACAGGCTAAGGTGAACTTGGTGGTCCTATTGAATGGCTACGGCCTGTTTCCTTGCTGCTTAAGGCAGCCTTGAAGTGTCCCTCAAAGTCTGCTCTGGAACCTGGCTGCATTGGCTTCAGATGCCCCCAGAAGCATCCCCCAGCAGGCTGGGACATGCGTGCGCAGGGCACTGGCACCTCAGAGGGTGTCTGAAGCTTGTTGTCACAGCACCTCTCCCTGCACCATGGGCAACAGTGTGGCAGAGACAGCGCCTCTGTATTGAGCTGTGTCATAGCTAGGGACAACCAGCTGGACTGTTTGTGCTGACACTTGAGTACAAGTGCTAGCAAATCCAGGCTGCAATTTCCCTGTGCTTCGTTGCCCTAATTATGAAAAACAATGGGACTAGCGTTCCCCCTTCACAAAGACATTAGTATCATACACAAATGATTGGCAGAAAAAAATAATTGTAAAAATTGGTGTCCTCATTGTCTCCTAATGGCTCAGGAACCAGAGTGCCTGATTTAAGAAAATAATTTTTCAGACAACCCCAGTTTTCTAGGAGCTAAAAGCCAAAACTACAACATTACTTCTGTCACACTTTGCATCAACATTTCCCATTCAAATCAGGTTCCCTAAGCTCTAGTGATGTGTTTTCTTTAAGTCACAGTGCTTTGTAAGTGTATTTAAAGTATGTTTGCAACATATTTTGCCAAAACTTTATTTTAAAGATCAGATGGAGAATTCTTTTTGATAACTCTGGTAAGAGTCAAGTCACATTCCTACCATAAAGAGGGATATTTTGGTTGATTTAGACATCATCATCCAAATACAAAAGAAAAAAAATTAAATCTCCAGTTTTAAAGCTGAATAGCTCTTGCTAGTTACAATGTTTTGCCTCTGAACCAGTTATTTTATTAGTTTCTGCATGTTGTGCAACTCACTTTATGGCAGTGCTTTTTATCTATGCAGTTCACAGCAGCTAACTAATGCCTTTCATTATCATACTTCTCAGGTGCATTGCATCCGTATCATTTCAACACACATTGCCCCAACTTGCAATGTGCAGAAACTTTCCATAAATAAGACTTTTTGTTAACTAAAAAAGCCAAAGACTGCAATAGAAAGAATATTATATTTGATCTATTCTTTGCAGAACAAAAGCAAGGGAGTTAAAAGCCTTAGACATCATTTCATCCTGTAACACAAACAAGAAATTCTATATGGCATTAGATCATGTCATTGTTCTTTGCACATAGAGAACCACCACCTGTAATCAGCTTTTATAATTTTTATCAAGAATAACTGTCAGCTGTAATTGGATTTTAATTGCCTGAAGCTTATGACACAGCAAAAAACACACCCTATTTTTTGGCAAGTTCTCTTCAATCTTTAGATCAACTGACTGTATCTCCATTGACTACGCAGCAACCTGACACATACAGCTCACACACAGCCAGCTGCATTCAATGCCTGGGTCTGGACCTGAGACTTGCCCTGAGTACTCTGTTTAGTTGCTGACACTTGAGATTTCCTGAAGTTGGGCATATAGAACCCTCAACTTACTGGGGAGATGGCAACTTTTTCTACATCCACTCACCCAGGCTCTCAATGGCCTTTTGGATTTATTTGGGAAAAGGTACAGCTAAGGCAAGCTGAGGGCCAAGGCTCCCTCAGGACTTGACTCAGACCTCCAATATTTTTCTAAAATTTTAGGAAAAGGTTTGCAGGATTTTGTGTTTATATAATATTTCAGTGACTTCCTAGAAGCCAAGGAATCTTGAATAGATATCACCCATTACTTACTGTTTGTCTTAGCTGAAAAGGACCATCAGGCCTTTCATCATAAGTTACTATTTTTGTAACAGAAGTGTAGAATATCTGTGTTACATTCTCCAACAAGAGGAGCAGCATTTATCTGAAAACCATATTAAAGCCATTCAAAATCTTCACCAACCTGTTACTAAAATCAAATGCAAACCTTTTTAGGAGCTTTCACCCCTGGATAGCTCCTTTCAAGGAAATGGCAAAACCTCTGATACAGATTATTGTTCAAAATGCTGAAGAACCCACCCACTGGATAGCAGACAAGGTAAAGACATTTGAGCTTTTGAACCAAGTTACTCTTGCCCTGGGACTGGCAGACCAGAGTAGAACATTAACCTTCTTTGTACAGGAAGGGCAGGAATAGTCTCCGAGACTGTAATTAACACAATGCACCCTGCTATTCTACTCCCTTCACCTGGGGAAGGAGCTCCACATCACAACTGTGTAGTAACCATCCGTGAAGCTGAAAAGACTCAAGATGATTTAGCAGACACACTGTTTCTAAATCCCATTCTGGAACTACTTGTTGGCAGGTCCACATGTAATCTGGGTAATAACCAGGCTACAGGTTATTCAATAACTACCATGAATGAAAAAGTGGAGGCTTCACCACTCAGTCTGAAGCTGATTGCACAAGCAGCCAAATTAATTGCATCAATTGCGTTGTCAGTTGGCCAAAGAAAACACTGAAAACATTTATGCTGACCCTCAATATGCATGTGGACTATGCCATGCTACTGGGCAGTTACAGAAGCTGCGTGAGTTTAGAACTTCCATGAAAGGAAAATACCAAATTCCTCTCAAATTACTGAGCTGTTAAAAGGTATACAATTGCCAGACAAACTTGCTATCAGCCAGCTCACACCCCAAAAGGACAAAAGAAGAGATAAGAAGTAATCTAATAGATATTACCACTAAAGCCTCAGCATGACAGCTGTATGAACCACCAGGCTTACAAGCAGTCCCATGGTCTGAACTGGTGTTACTCACACCTGTAAAGAAAGGTTTGACTGTTTCTGCTGAAGAAACTGAGCCTTGAAAAAGGTATGAAATAACCAAAAACTCCTAGGGAACACAGAGAGAACATATGAAAAACCTTCCTATTTTACCTGAGGAAAACCAGACTCCCATAACAAAAATGCATCACCATCCAGGACATTTGGGGCTGCTGCACTAGTCCAGACCCTGCCAGGGAACTGGTTCACACCAGGAATTTATGCTACAATCAAATAAGTAGCTGTGCTTCATATGCATTCCTTTAGCCTTGAAGAATACTTGGCAACATTCAGTGTGAAGTGCCCTTGAGCCACAGAGCTGGGAGCAGAGTCCAGTGTACCAAACAGGCCATCTTGCCTGCACAAGCCCAGGGGAAACCATGGTGCTGGAGGCTTGTACTGTAGTCTCCCACCCACCTTTGCCTCCCTGCACTTTGTCCCATCAACAGTTTCACAGTTGCCTTGCTCAGCTCTGAACTGCACTGCAGGACACGTTTCCTGGTTAAAAAAATTCTTTCTCTGGCTTTCTCTCTCCTGCAGCTTCCAGGTGGTGAGTAACTATTGAGCCATGCTTAATCTACCTGGAAAATGAACTAAAGAGACCAAGTAATTTGCAGGACCCCAGCAGATGCTCTAATAAACAGTCACTCCAACACTTCCAGAAAAGACAACGTATATGTTAGCACTTACCCTCTAGCCTCAACTCAGACTCCACCCAGCACACTCAGATTGCCAGGGAGTGTTTAAACTTCCCAGCCTGGGGGAGTTTCCAGCCATACCCAATTAGAGAGAAGCTTTCTCATTGCTGATAAACTGCCACTGCGCAGATTAAAGACATAGGTGTCTGAAAATTGCCATCCAAGGCAAAGACTGTCTTTCTTTTTCAGTTTGCTGATTTGACTATACCATGTGGCCAGCCTCAAAGTTTCTAAGGTAGTCATCTATTCAAGCAGCTGTCTTGGAATTTACTGGGGTATTTTACCCAAATGTAACTGCAAAACACTTTAAAACACTGAGAAAGTTACAGATTTTTTTCTGGATCACATTTAGGGTAATAGTAACCATTTAAAGACTAAACACTGAAATTTCCAGGCTTACTTCACTATTTGACAGTAACCCAGGTTCTTGCTTTCAGTGCTGTATGCCACAGGAAAGATACCCAAAGCATGGGATAACAATGCTCAATTAATTTGAAATACAATTTGCCAGTATTAAACTTACTTGATATAAAAACAGATGAGCAGTTTAGGACCACAGAATCATGGAATAGTTTGGGTTGGAAGGGACCTTAAGGATCATCCAATTCCAGTCCCATGGGCTGCACCATGGGCAGGGACACCTCCCACTAGACCAGGTTGCTTCAAGCCCATCCAGCCTGGCCTTGAACACTTTTGGGAAGGGGACATTCAGAACTTGTTGGGCAACTTGTTTCAGTGTCTCACCACCCCCATAACGAAGAATTTCCTCCTAATATCTAGCCTAAATCTCCCCTCTTCCAGTTTAAAGCCATTACCCATTGTCCTATCACTATGTCCCCCTGTAAAAAGTCCCTCCCCAGCTTTCCTGTATCCCCTTCAGATACTGGAAGGCTGTGATAAGGTCTCCCTGGAGTCTTCTCTTCTCTAGGCTGAATAACCCCA